CTGCTCTTCCAATGCTCAGGGCATAAATACCTGTCAGAGACAATTAGGTCCTGATTGATTTTCTCTCTTTGATTGTGCCAATTTCTGTCCACTACCACCTGCAAATGAGAACAATGGGATTTCTGCTTGGGGTTTTTTTCAGTTGGGTGAAAAGATATATGAAGGTCGACCTGCCAAATGGTGTCCCCTAAGGTCCGTTGCGACCTTGACTCAGAGCTTTAAATTTTTGAGGTCAGGCTTATTAGACGACTGGTCCATGTTAGGTTCAGGGACATTCAGGGAATACTTCGTATAGGTGGACAATGAACCAATTAAAGAAGAAAATACAGATAACCAGATGGTCATTTTCACATTAAAATAAAGGATATATGGACTGAAACTACAAACACTCAACAGCTCTCCTGGAAACAGTGCACTCGTATGGATCCAGATCACAAATACACACACAAATATTTTTGGCAGATGCAGACAGCCTTTCCGGAGCGATATTCCTTAAGCCCATTGTGAATTGTTGGAATACACAATTCCCAACTCATGTGTAGTTCTCTACTTTGACACTTGGGAGGAATAGTCTGTGTTGGAGATCAATACTTTACAATCACTCAAATCTGGCTGACAATAAAAGATTATCCTGAAGATGGAAAAGTTGACAGTGAAATTGAAATGTAAAATACAAAACAACAAAACAAAAGGTGGATTTCCTTGTATCTGAACTGCAGCACCATCATGGCAATGATTCCCTGAAATTTTAATCAGCATACAAAACAATATTTTTTTTCCAAATGGCGTTAAATATAGTGCAGTTTTTTTTTACTCCAACAGCAAACACTGACATTTCCAGCAAGATGTTCCTAATTAATTATATGTATATATTGCCAACCTATGTGTGTGACTGTGTGTGTGTGTTTGTGTTTATGCAGACACAAAATTGCCTAAAAGAGACTGAGGTTCCACTGAAGCACCAGCTGCTGCAGGTCGTAGTGAGGGTCCTCCAGTACCGAATGCTGCTCACAGGTAACACTGCTGCACAGGAGTAAAAGCTGAATGGTGTTCACTGTATAATTAGCGCTTACTTTATGTGAGCTGCCCTTCACACGCAGTTAAAACAGCCACAGTCTTTCTCAGTGAGTAATAAACCATGACTCTTAAACATAAAATAATGACCTTTACATTTAAGCCATAATCAAATGGGTTCACGGTGCTGATTTAGCCTGTTAGCCCATTAGCACTCACGTCACACGGTAGGAGGAAAAACATTAAAAGTATTTTATTTTATTTCATGTCTTATTAAGAACACTAAGCAGAGGTGCAGTAATGACGTCCACTAAAACCAGCAGAGAGATACACGCTGTAATGAAACACACCGTTCCCTGGTGACCTGCTTGTTTCCCTTCTGCTTTTTGTTTCAGATTACTTGAACAACCTCTCCCCCGACTCTAAAGAATACGAAGAAACACAAGGTAAGAATTATCACCACAAGAATTTTTTTTTAAATATTTATACACATTCCATTTTCGCTACATATACTACTACTGTACAATATTAACCAAAGGTGTGTTAGCTCCTGTGCTAACGAAGCTAAACCGACATCTTCAGCCAAGTTATTGGTTGCTAATTAAAACCACAACTATGAAAATTTTGAAGGCTGAGTTTATGCTAATTTCTGACCTTAATGCACACATGGACATAGTTTTTATGTGTGTTTTAAGACCACTGCTATTGACATACAGCCCCTTACCTTAACAATTAGGTATATACCGTATAGCTAATCCTAATCCTTGTTTACATCTAACCTGAGCCCAATTGCCATCCAAAACACCCCCAACTCAACGACCTGCAAAATATCCTCATAAAGACAAAATATCTCTGACAACAATTTTATTTTTCAAAACTATGTCCAGTTAGGTAGAGCTATATCACACACATACTGATGTGTCTGGGTCTGGTCTTGTGTTGCAGATGCCCTGGTGATCGTGTCTGAGGTGGCAGACCAGGCTAATGACAATCTGAAGCAGGGGGTGAGTTTTGTCCACACACCCCACTCCTGTTCGCGTGGGTCTGAGGGTCTTTGTATGTCTGCTGGTCAGTAAAAGTGTCAGGCAGCGATGTTTTCAAACAAGTAGAGATCTATTTTAGAAAATGTTTTTCACTGGTCTTGGTGTCTACTGCTTGCTGATGAATTCAAGGGGGTGAAGAGAAGATGATGTCAACATGAGTCCCAGCTGGGTCACTACAAAGAGACCAGTATGAGGTCAAACATAGCTGAGCTGCTGCTTCTCAAACATGAAGAGCCCATGGAGATAATTCACAGACCCTCCCCCCATCATCTCTCCTTTCTCTTCCTCTTGTCACTCACTGACAGGATTCCCCTGTGCCACACTTTGACTTCGCTCCTCTTTTATCAGACAGTTTTCTTTTTCTTCTCCTATACACTCATTCTGACAGGCGCAGACAAACTGGGGCTAAAAACACAGGATCCCACTATCTGTGTTTACACTCTATTCAGCTTTCGGTATCTCATTCCTTTCAAGCATCCCCCCAAACAGTGGTACGTTCAGTCTCTTGTCTCCTCTTTCCGTCCATCACTTGATAATCTCCTTCCCGTCCTCGTCCGCAGGAGAACTTGCTGCGTCTGGTCCACATAGAGTACAGTGTTAAAGGCAAGAGGGATCTTCTGAAGCCCGGAAGAGTAAGCACCAATAAAATACAGCAGTGCGTTGTTTGTTGTGATGCCCCCCACAGGAACTAGAGTGGTACTAATGGTGCTTTTTCCACATGTTTGCTTTGACAGATGTTTGTCAAAGAGGGAACTCTCATGAAAGTCTCGAGGAAAAGCAGGCAGCCCCGACACCTGTTTCTGGTGAGTTTTGATGTTTGGCAAAATAAAGTTTGCTACTAATCACTTTATGTTACTGTTACTGTAACTACTATTCAGAGGTCAGAGGTCACAAAATAAAGTTTGCTACTAATCACTTTGTGTTTGCAACAGATAATTAACTACTATTCAGAGGTCAGAGGTCGAGATAAAGTCACTGTGTGGTGTCAATGAGGGTGAAGAGGGAAACAAATTATAATCTTAAAAAAAAGTATCTATATTTTTTTTTCAAATATTACAGTATTATACATTTTTTAAGCTTTGAGCATGAAGCTTGTAGGCTTGTAGGTGTTGCTAAGTACACAATTAAAAGAACTGTTTTATGACTCAAATGCACTCATGCACTGTTTTATATTGTTGAATTTCTGTAAAATGTGTCATAAACCACAAGAAATGGACATAAAGAAAAAGTTGGAACAAAAAGTATGATTAGGATTACAAGGCTTTTACTTTGAAAGTCGGTCTTCATCGTCTTGAAATGTGGTACGGTAGAAAATGCACTGTTTTATATTGTTGAATTTCTCGGTCGGTCTTCATCGTCTTGAAAAGTGGTACGGTAGAAGTCCAATGTATAACAAATTAATTATTTAAGCTCAGATACTGTAGCTAAGAGAAGGTAGAGAATCTATCAAACCACATAGGGATGTATTGATTCGCTTTGACAGTGATCACCTGAGGGGCCAATTTTTTTTGGCCATGTAAACAAAGTGTGCATGATGTGCTAAAATATGAGGGAATGTTGGGTGGAGGAGGTTTGTCTCTGAGGTAGGTGAGGTTGTTAGAGAAGGCCAGGGGCCAAGGCTGTGAGACCTTCACTACAGCACCACACCCAGGCCAGCATGAACCTCCCTCCCTCCCTCTCTCTCCACTCTACTCTTCTCCACCCTCTTAGGAGTTGTTTTCCAGGGCCCCACTTCCTCACAGGATGTTTGGTGTAGGTCAATGGATGCTGGCTTCCTGTGTTGTTGGGAGGGGACTGACAGCAAAGTGAAGGCCAGACACCCTGTAGAATGCTCGGCAGAGGAGGGGGGATAGGGGCAGTCGCAACGCAAACTACCCCCCCCCCCAAAAAAAAAAAACTGGTGCAAAGTGCAATATATCAGTGTAATATTTGATTTTATGTTACATGTTTTATTGTTACTCTTGTTATTCTAAACTTGATCAGCATTCATGGATGTGGTTTCAAAAGCTCGTGAAATTCAAGATGGCTGCACCTTGGTCGCTGTACATCAACATGCCTCAGTTTCTTAATTTTCGACACGGTAAAACAGTGAACCATAATCACTGACTCTGTTGGTCAGAATGCTAAAGTGACAGGTTGGTTGTCATGACAAGCCTTTGTTGTGCTGGTCCAAAGCCAAGTGAAAAGCACGTTGTAATTGCGGTCCATTAGGTTCCGTATATAAACCCTTTTAGAACCATTTTCTGTTCCATTGTCATTTCTCCCAGTCCTAGTAAACAGAGCAGCAGCTGAGAAATCGTTGGCTGAAAATGTCCAACACTTGACACATCCAGCTATTACGGCTTTATAGCCGTTTGCCCACTTGAACTGAACGGCTTCAATGTGTCAGGTGTTATTTATTGGCCTTTACTGAAAGTGAATCCAAACAACAGTGAGGATGAAATCCATCAGTCTCCTCTGGGACAGAGAGAAGATCAGGACATGTCACGAGCCCAGGCTCCAAAGTGGAAGAAAGATAGACAGAGTCACTGAGAGGAGGCAGAGATACAAAACAAAAATAAATGTATAATTAGAGTTTAATTGTAAAGGAGGTTCACGTGATTTATTGCCACTGAGAAGAACATCAGAAGCAGGAGAAGAATCACGGAGGGGCTTGTTTAGGTGTCAGACACGACGGTCGAAATAGATTTTGCAGGCAATGAGGCAAAGATGGAGAAGATAGATGACAAACAGAAGGAGCTGAGGAGAGAATACCGGGCCACACCAGTGACTTCTGGAATTTAGTTGGTATTTAGGGATTTTGAAAGGATGAACTGAGTGCAGCCAGATAGATGTGGTTGGATTTAGTTTAAGGTTGGTGTCGAAGGCTGAAGGAAGATCTAGGAGAGCTCAGCTGGTGGAGAGACTGGAGTCAGCTGCCATTAAAAAAGGTCACTGGGAATGTCTCAGTGCTCTGACCAATGTTGAAAACTGACTTTTTTGAAGGTTTAAATTCTTAAATATTCTAGCTTTTTCTTGTTAAATTAAAACTTTATTCTTTTTTTTTCTAATGTTTTACAGTTGATTTTTACAAACTTGTTTTCATAACTGAGCCAGTACTATTCTGTTAAACTTACCACTTTTGTCTTGTAATGACAGACATTAACATTTTCCTTGTATGACTTTATTTTTATAAATTACAAATTTACAGCTTTTTACTTGTAAGCTTTATTACATTTTACTTTATTCTTGCAAACCTGCAACATCAATGCCACTTTTACAGCTTTTATCTAATACTATTTTCTTTAATGTTACTGTTACGACTACAACTTTGTGTGTACACTGTATGTAGATAAGGGAAAAAGTGGGTAGAGGAAAAAAATGGCTAAACACTGAGGGGTCAAGGACTCAAGTATGTTTTCCTGGCACTCACAGAAGTTTCTGTTGAAGGAATTTTGCAGCAGTACAGGGTGGAGCAGGCAAGAGTAGCGGCTGCAGCCCAGAGGTCAGAGAGCAGGGCAGCGTAAGACGCAGCCTTGGCCAGTCAAGGTCTGATTTGTTCTCAACCAGTCAGCCAGCAAAACCGCTGCTGCCCAGGTTATGTCGAGTTGTTGTTGTTGTTGTTGTGGTAAAGGTGGTTGTGTTCCACCCAGTTCTGGTTTTCTGTGTAGCCCTGAGAAGACAGAGGAGGCCCAGAGCCCAGAGCAGGGTGGAGAATTCCTGGATGCTGCCTTTATGGCCCCAGCGGATGTTTAGAGCACACATTAGGTGTGACCGCTGATGTCATTTCTTTTGTCTGAAACAAAATGAAATGCTTCAGCAGAACACAATAGATCCTGGGTACAGTCAGGGGATCACGGCGCATTTTTGCCTGACAAGCAAATAAATACTTTCTTTGCAGTAAAGCCTCGTTTTTGTTGTTTGTGTGAGTGTGTACATGGGAATCTGTGTGGTGCAGGAAAGGCAGGCGTGTGAGAGCTGTGAAAGGAAACACAACCAGAGAAACACAGCCCAGAAAGCAGTTTTAATGTCAGGAAGAATAAACAATGCAGTGAGGGATACTTCTCAAGGAGTGACAGCCTCACCTAGTGGTCATTTTAGGTGTTACATACTCATCGGTAATTATTAATGTTAAAGATACTTCAACTAAAGAATTCAACTATAATTTCTATCTAATTATTGTGATGTGTGCAAAATGCAATAATAATTATTAATAATAATATTCTTATTATTATTAGTAGTAGTAGTAGTAGTATTAGTACTAGTATTACATCCTTTTGGACTCTGTTAGCCATTAGCTGATTGTGCTTTTTTTTTTTGTATTTTGTGTGATTTTCGGTTAATTGTGAAATTATTCTGATCTTACTTTTGTTTTTGTTTGTTGCAGATGAATGATTTGATGCTGTACACCTACCCTCAACAAGATGGAAAGTACAGGCTGAAGAACACACTGACTTTGTCAGGGATGAAGGTACAAAATTGTGTTTTTATGTATTTGTCTCTTCTCTGCTTTCAAATCCTTCAAGTCTGTTCAAGTCCGTTGACCGAGCTTGTGTTTCTGCTGCTGCAGGTGAGCAAACCTGTCCTTGACAATGTGTTGAACTGTCTGAAAATCGAGGTTTCTGACATCACCATCACTCTTTCTGCCAGGTGAGTGTTTTGAAGCATAAATAGAGAAAAGGGTTACATTGAAGGTTTGACCAGAAGTGTCTGATAATTTGCTAAAAAGATAACTGAAGGATAAAACATGTATGATGTTAATTATTACAAAATAATTACAAAAAGTGAGGTTCTGGCCATTAGCTTATATTAGAATTCTTATAATTAGCTTAAAAATTGGCAAACTTTAAAAAGAAAAGCTGAGAAGTAAGGTTTTTATATTGAAAACTATTGTCTATATATGTCATATTTGATGTCTTTCCTAAAATCAATTCCAAGAGTGACTCGCCCTAAACTCAACATAAATGTAGTAACAGCACATTACATAGTAAAGGTGTGATTGTTTGTGCTTTATCTGCTCAGTTCTGTTGGAGAGAGGGAAGACTGGTTTCACACGCTGAGTCGAGCCATAGCAGACCACGCTGCAGGTCTGTGTACGTTTGGTGGGCCCTGCAATGAGGTGAGGTTGTGCTCTCTAATGACTCTAATGACTCTAATGACTGTATAAACATCTTTTTTTTCTCATATGACTTCTGCACAAACAATAACGTACATTTCATGTGACTCTACTTTCTTTTCCACCACAGGCACGGGAGAAGCTGTGGATGGCCCTGGGAGAAGCTGCTCCTGTGCTGGTGCCTGTTTCTCATGTGATGATGTGCATGAACTGTACCACTGAATTCAGCCTCACACTGAGGCGACACCACTGCAACGCCTGTGGCAAGGTCAGACAAAGCACTGTAAAAACAGATAATTAAATATAAAACACATTTGATTGTTTGTGGAGAGGGTCAGGACTGTATTCAAATTAAATTATACTTTAAAACAAATGAAAAGTATGGCTAATGTGTGGTTAAAGGATGTCAGCCGGGAAAAGCAAAAGATTTGGAAACAACACAAACCAAAAAAATTGGAAAGGTAGAAAAGTAGTAAATAATTTTGATGTTTGCTCTGATTGTAAAAGTGTTCATGTTTGTGGGTTCAAATATCTGATCTGAGGTTGACAAAGATTTAAAGATGAAACCTGAACACATGGTCTCAGCCAGTTTAATTATATGAATCTGACACCTTTTTCAAATTTTAAGTTTCACAACAGTTAGTGTAAGTTTTCTCCGTGTCTGTCTTTTGGCACAGGTGGTGTGTCGCGCTTGTTCCAGGAACCGTTACCCACTCAGGTACCTCAAAGACAGAGTGGTTAAAGTTTGTGACCGCTGTTACAGCGAGCTCAGAAAAAGAGGTGAATCTTAACTTTGGTGAAGAAGAAACAAAAGACTTTTTTACTCTCTTTAATTCTGTATAAACTTTGAATATGTCTGCAGGTGGAAGCGTGAGCAGCACTTGTGAGAACTCCAGCCCTCGGACCCTTCGGTCCAATCGTCCTCTCTCTGCTGTCTTCCAGAGCCTGCAGACCCCGACTCTGTGGAAGAGCCGTAAGAGCACATCCTCTCTCAATCAGGTAAAGCAAGATTTTTAATTTCCTTAGGTACCATTCATAGGACAGACAAAGTAGTTTGAGAACTGCTGATTTTAGTGAATTGGGTTCCCTGCAGTATAGTAGAAGAAATTACTTAAATTCCACAGACAAAAATATTTTCCCTGACCGGGAATCGAACCCGGGCCGCGGCGGTGAGAGCGCCGAATCCTAACCACTAGACTACCAGGGACATAGGACACAAGTCTTAAGCTGGTTGCTGGAATTTCACTCATGCCACCTGTTTATTGGATGATATTTATGTCTTGTCATACACCGCAGTTGCCGCTGGGGTTCGCTGTTTGCCGTCACACCATTTGGGCCCCGCAGTGAATCCCTTATCTGTGAAATCAGTCTTGTGTTTTTCTATGTATCTGCGCACTCTGTGTTATGACATTACTAATATTTTTATATTTTTTTATCAGGTGTCACTGGCCGTGGAGGGCTCCACCATGAGTGGCAGCCTGCAGCGACGCAAGAAGAGCAAGAGGAAGTGGAAGCGCCTGTGGTTCCTTCTCAAAGACAAGGTGCTCTACACCTTCACAGCCCGTGAGGTGAGGGGGCACAGAGTCTCCCACACCAGCCCCAGGACAAACCAGCTCTGAGGCTTTTCTCCACAGAAACCTCCCCCACTGTCTCACTGTCTAATCTGTGTTTCTCCACTGTTCAGTTTATACACCAGGACTGAACACTGCAGTATTGTCACAGAGTTACAAGACACTGAAAATATGTTAGTGGTTCAAGATCAACTGTATAAACCTATCTAACAGTCCCTGGTAGTCTAGTGGTTAGGATTCGGCGCTCTCACCGCCGCGGCCCGGGTTCGATTCCCGGTCAGGGAACTTTGACTTTTAGGCGCAGTGGTTAAGGAAGCGAACTTGGGTCCAGAAGGCGTAAGGTTCGAGTCCACTAGCTGCCAAGTTATCACTGA